CCAATCTTTTTATAAGATTGAAAACAATTTCATACGTTGAAATTGGTTGTTACCTTCCCATTTCCTTAATCTGAAAAGATTAAATAAGTGGATTTKAAAAGATCTACTTATAATTTTATGAATTGACGGCTTTCCCAGAAATTTTCATTCATTCTTGTGTATGATGTAATGTTTCTCATTTCATCATAAGGGGGAGTATGAAATAATGAATAAAATGTTTTATTCCGAATGATAAAAAGGGGGAGTATGTTATAAAGATCAAGGGGGAGTAACATCAAGTCGGCAAAAGACTCAAAAGAAGTGCGACTGGAGATAATTACAGAAAGATTATTCCTGTGCTAAAACGACTGAGAGTTTTYGAATGAGAAGATCATCATTTCAAAAGTTTACCAACAGAATTTTCTTATCAAAGAGAAAATTTGTAATTTGTTGTCTGAAGATTCTTTGAAGATCACATCTTGTACATTGTTTCTGAAGATTTTTGTTGATACTGTTCTACATTGTCAAAAGAGAAGATCATCGTTGTTCTACATTCGAGGGGGAGAATGTTAGAAGATTTTTCTCAACAAATGTTTGTCTGAAGTTTAAAGATGAAGATTGTTTTTGAAGAAGACATAATGTGCTTAAAGCAACAAAGTTCAAACAAGTCTCATAGCGCGCAAATTCTTTCAAGTCTGAATACAAAGGGGGAGAATGTTATGAATGAAATTCAATGATAAATTGTATTCGTCTTGAAAGTTAATTTTGTCTATAATTGTATAAAAGTCACCATGTTTAACTTTTTTTAGAGATGTTTGACTTTGACTTTGTGTCTTGTTTGACCCTATATAAAGGGTAATTTCCTTTGTAGTTTGTAAAGAGAGCCTTATTGTAAATTCAGTATACGTTTATAAAATTTGACCATTCTTGGATGCTTTGACTTTCTCTCTCTACTCCTTCTAAAAGTTGTTAATAGAAAATATATTCTGTCATTGTTGAAGTTGAAGGATTCATGGAAGATTGATCAATATTAAGACTTATATTATCTGTTACACTTTTCAACTTAAATCTCCTTCTTATCAAAACTCAACTCTTAAATGATAAAGTATTAATCATTGTCGTTTACAAGACAAAGCTATTACACGGAGATCTAAACCAGATAATGCTTGTGTATAGATGGACAAATATTTAGGAAGCTGCTAACATATTTATAGACGCTTGGGCAAACAATAAAGACGTTCAGGAAGCTCTCAACGTTCGTGAGGTACGTTATTCACATTGACTTCATAACTTACGACACTATTTACTCAACGACGATGGGAACAACTTGACTCATTTGTTTCTTTGGAAAAACCCAAACCCAATGAAAGTAGGTAAATTTATCCAAGGCAATAATAGAAAATAGTAATACGTGTATGTATCCCCATCAATATTAGTATTTAAATTTGGATTTTTATGTGCAGGGAATAATCGAAAAGTGGGAATACACGAACACAAGTATCCGTTACAATTTAGATAAAGAAGACACTATATATTACTCCTACGACGTTTTCAGCAGCATCACAGACCATCAACAACTTCTTACCAAGAGCTGTCAAGTCTTGATCATTTGGTAATGCGGATGCCAGTAGTCTTTCAGATAATATAATCATCGTTTCCAATTTTTATTTTCTTCCTAGTTTGAAGTTGGAACTAATATAGATGATTTTATATAAAAATTTTGATTCATCAGCGGTGACCATGACATGACATTTCCATGCGTTGGCCAACAGAAATGGATTTCAAGTCTTAATCTTTCGATTGAAAGCCCATGGGAACCGTGGTTTGTTAGTAAGCGAGTTGCAGGGTGAGCAACTTCTATTACCTTTGTTATTAGTACATTTATTTCCTAATCTTTTTAAAATTGATTTTTCTGAATCCGCTTTTAAAACTATATATGCATGGTTGCTCTTTGTTTTTGTAGATATCAAATGACATATGCTCAAAGTCAATACTCGTTAAAATTTGCAACAATTAAGGTAAGAAACATATCTGTTACACACATGGTCCAAATCAAATGAGAACCATAAAAAAAGTTACAAACATGTGAGAATCAATTTGAAAATATCTTTTACATGATTTGTTTCCCATCAAATGTTAGAATTTAAGATATTGTTTCATATATATTTGTTTTATAATGTGATAGTTTCACATTCATTTGTTTTATCATGTGAATATTTTAAGTTGTATTTTTCATTTCATGAAGGGCATCTCCAACTCAATCGCTAATAAAAACTAAAAAGTTTATGGGTCCCTTGAACGCTAAAAACAACAACTTCAATCGCACACCAAAAAACAAACAAAAA